GAGACGCAATAATCCCAGGACGTGTAAACCAACCAACAAAAATATCCCCACAAACAAAAATCCTAACCCACTGCCACGGAGTTGATTTTGACTCGAGGAAGCACAGAGTAGAATTGCCCCTGTGGATTTCTGAGGCTCTCAATCGTTGCGGGAGGGGAAAGTCTCATCTTTCTTTTGCGGAGCAGCTTGTGGAGTTGAGCTGCTGACCTTGTGGTGTATAGCCCAACATGCAACCCGCTACATCACCAGAGTTAAGAACAGCCCTTTGAAGCGTAATAAGTCTTCTTCCAGTCCCGATGCCCCATTCTTCTTCACGTACTTCACCTTCTCTGTATTGCCCAGCACACAGGTGGAATGAGTGTGGTGAGAGGATACAACCCTGCTGCACGCCTTTCCTGATTTTAAACCATATTCCTTATTCCCTTGCTCTGGTCACACAACTGCCTCTTGATCCATGTACAAGTTCCCCGTGAGCACAATGAAATGTTTTGGGATTCCCATTCGTAAGGTTATCCGTAGTTTTTTAAGAGCCACACATCCCAGTGCCTTGGCATAGTCAATAAAATACAAGTAAACCTCTTTCTGGTGTTCTCTAATTTGAGCCAAGATCCATCTGACATCAGCCATGCGATCCTTACTTTCACATCCTCTTCTGAATCAGGCTTGAAGCTGTGGCAGCTCCCTGTCAATGTTGTTGGATGTCCTTCAGCAAAATTTTATTTGCATGTGACATTAATGCTATTGTTCTATAGTTTGACCATTCTGTTGGTTTCCCTTTCTTTGGAATGGGCATACATATGGATCTCTTCCAATCAGTCAGCCTAGTAGCTGCCTTCCAAATGTCCTGGCATAGTTGAGCGAGTGCTTCCAGTTCTCATCAGTGTGTTGGAACAGTTCAGTCGAGATCATAGCAATTCCTGGAGGCTTGCTTTTGGCTAACGCTTTCAATACAGCTTGAACGTCTTCCTTCAGCACCATTGGTTCTTGCTCATATTATTACCTCCTGAAATGGTGGAATGCTGGCTCCTTCTTGTCGGCCCAGTGACTCTGTATTCTTTCCATCTTCTTTTGATGCTTCCTGCGTCATTGGATATTTTCCCCATAGAATCTTTCAGGATTGCAACCTGAGGTTTTTCCTTGTGTCCTTTCCGTTTGAGAGAGGCTGAGCATGTTCTTACTTTTTGGTTTTCTAAGTCTTTGCGCATTTCGTTATAATATTTGCCTCTGTCTTCTTGAGCTGCCCTTTGAAATTTTCTGTTCCGCTCTTTGACTTCATCTGTATTTCCCTTTGCTTTTTTAGCTACATGACAATTAGGAACAAGTTTCCGAGTCTCTTCTGACACCCATTGTCATCTTCTCCTTCCTTCTTGTCTTTAATGACCTTTGTCTTTCGTCATGAACGATGCCCTTGATGTCCTCCCACAGCTCGCCGGGTTTTCTGTCACGAGTGGTCAGTGTGTCAAATATGGTCTTGAGATGTTCTCCAAATTCAGGAGGGATAGACTCAAGTTTGTGTTTTGGCTGTTATGGACTTGTCTGGGTTTTATTCCGCTTTAACCTGCACTTACACAGGAGCACAGTCAGCCCTGGTCCTGGTCTAGCTGCTGATATCGAGTGTTGCCATCGTCTCTTCCCGCAGACTTAGTCAAGTTAATATCTATGTATTCGTTTTGATTTCTGTGTTGCCTTTTATGTTGTTATAAAAAGGTATTTGCTATGAACGAGTCCTTGGTTTGCAAAATTCCGTCATGTAATATTCAGCTTCCTTTCAATCACCAAGTTCATATTTTCCAACTGCTATTCCTTCCTCTTTTCAACTTTTACATTCTAATCACCAAGAATTATCAATGTATCTTGATTATGTATTTGATTGATGTCTGACTGAAGACATTGGTAGATATCTGAAATTTCTTCATCATTAGCTTTTGGGGTTGGTACATACATCTGAATAATATTTGTATTGATTTGATTCCCTTGAAGGCAGATAGATATAATCTTATCGCAGATAGCATTGGACTTTAAGGTTGAGTTTGCAATGTCCTTTTGGACGGTGAATACTGTGCCATTCCTCTTGACTGGGTCCTTCCGGGCGGGGTAAACCCTCCGACTCAAATGGCCACTGTCAGTCCACTTCAGCTCACCAATGCCTAAGACATCTGTCTTTATGTGCTTCCATCTCATTTTCGATGACTTCTAATTTTCCTAAATTCATACTTCTCCAATTCCAAGTTCTGATCATTAGCAGATGTTCGCAGCTGGCTCTCCTGACCTTGAGTTGTGCTCCCTCAGCAAACGAAGAGCCCGAAGGCTCCCTCCACAGGCTTTACCCGACTCACGTCTCAAGGTCGGTTGACTCGGCTCCCCTCTGAGAAAGCAGCTCTTCCTAAGTCACATTTCAGGTGCCCCTGGCCCCAAGGAGCCCACCCCCCAGCACAGTCTCTGTCTGTTCTGCGTCCACTCGTTGGGCCTTCACTGTCTGACAGTGTGGCAAGGCTACGCCCAAGGTTCTCAGTGGCTACTTCCTCCCAAGCGGGTAGCTTGTTCCGTCTTCCTTGTCTGCTCTTGGTCTGAGAGCTTGGCGGAAACCTGTTCACTTTGGGGGACCCTGCTGGCATTGGAAACACCAGAGACATGGCTTCCAGCATCACAACACCCGAGCCGGCACACACACAGTATGACAAACTGACACAGTATGACAAACTGACAGGCAAGCCGTGGCAGAAAAGTATAATGAAGTAAAAAAGGAGGGGGGTGTAGTATTAAATTTTAAAAAATTGGCGCTGATGGAGGGAGGTAGGGGGCCAGCCCCCACCGTTAATACTCCTATTGCTACTACTTCTCGGATTCAGTAATGCACAATTGTACGGTTGAGATATATAAGCATTATATTAAAGTCATCAAGAGCATGAGAGATATTACAATAATACAGTCAGACACATTACATGATACCATCGCTCACCTCAGCCCAGCTTGGTGGTCCACGTGGAGAGAGGGGGAAGGGAAGGAGGGTAAGGGAACAAGGGAGAGGGGAGTGACCAGGGAGTGAGCAGCAAGGAGCTCAGAGTCAGAGAGAGAGATCTATATTGCTGGCTCACATCTATATACCTTTTGGGGGCAAACCAGCCCACTAATTACAGGTAGAGACATACGTCACAGGAAGGGGCTGCACTGTAGGTTACACAGCAATGAGAGGGTGGTCTAGGGGGTGGTCTCTGGGTCTCCATAGGAACATTATCAGTAGGGTGAAAACTCCGCCTACAGGAGCCTGTCCATTGTCCCCAGAGGCAGGGAGCAGGCCCACCCCTGCGGTGGGATGAGAGAGCAGTCTGGCAACTGATTGCCCTCAGTGGGGGAATGCCTGCGCATCTGACCTCCCCCCACAGGGGGGGAGGGGAAACAATGGGTAGGATCCCACTTAATATGAACTATGTAGCCTAGGTGAGTGTCTAGATATCAATATTGGTCAGTGGTTATAAGGTGAGGGTGGGAGGGCATGGGAAAGAAAAACTCGGTGGGGCGGGTGTACGGAGCTTCTGTTAAGAGTGATGGGAAAATGTGGGAGCAGTTAAGACCAACACGATGTGTGTGATCTTGAACTGTACGTGTGCAGATGGTTGAAATGCAGATGTTCTCTTGCATATATGTTTATCACAATAAAACGTCTACATGTATTGGAGAGAACCAGTGGTGCTGTAAACAGATGTTGGTTTCGTTGTAATAGTATGCAGTGCGAAGATCTGAAATGTTCAGGGGAAAGTGACCAGAGCCTGGCATCTACGTTGAATTGCCTTCAAAAGTGAGATGAATTATCACTGGAGAGAGCTGTGCAGATAGACCGAACCCCCGCCATCGATTAGCTGCTGACTCGTAGGGACTCTGTACAGAGTACGGGAGCAGGCAGCCTCAGATTTCCCCCAGGGAGCAGTTGTTGGGATTGGGTGCACACAATGGATGTCGAAAACGGTATGCAATCAAGTGCTTTCCTAAAAGTTCGCAGTTCGAGTCCGCCCAGCAGCCTCGTGGAAGAAAGCCCTGCTGATTTGCTTCTGTCAAGATCACAGCTGGGAAAACCACACGGAGCAGTTCTGTGTGGCGCACAGGGTCCCGTGAGCTGGGTGGGGTTTTTTTAGGAGGGGAGGGGAGGCAGGGAGAGTATACACTTAGATATGTTAGCTACATTTGCACTCATATTTTAAACAAAATTGGGCTCATTTTCTTTACATAATTTTGTAGCTGGGCTTTTCATAAACTCCACTCACTGTCATCAAGGCGATGCTGACTCATAGAGACCCTACAGGACAGGGTAGAACTGCCCCTGTGAGTTTCCAAGACCATATCTCTTTATGGGAGATAGAAAGCCCTGTCTTTCTCCTGAGGAGTGGCTGGTGGTTTTGAACTGCTGGCCTGGTGTTTCCAGAATGGAAGGGTCATCCCAAGGAGCAGTTGGTGGTTGAGAATGATTGACCGGCAGTTAGCAGGCCGGCACATAGTGCATCATTATTCACCAGGCCGGTGACGCGAGTGCGCATGATCATGTTTGCACGGTGATCCAGATCCAGTGGATCTGCTGTGCTCATCCTGTGTGGCTGCGTTTGGTGTGCTCAGGACTGAACTGGAGCCCGTCCCTGTCAGCCTCGTCTCCATTCTCTGGGGGGCAGGCCCGTTCCCCGGAGGAGCACTCAGAAGTCCGGCTTAGGTGCTGCCATTCGCCCAGTTCTTGTCCTCGCTCTGCCCTGGTGGTCATAGGCGGTCTTTGGTTACCCTCTACCCTCGGCTCGGTTTGCTCTCAGAGGCGGTGCACGTAGCGGAGATAGAGGCCAGGAGGTAGTCGTCTCAGTAGCCCGGGTCAGTGTGGATGGCACGAGTGTGGAGCAGGGAGAGGCAGAGAACTGGGTCGCCTGATTCTGTGTCCTCCCCTCCTCCCCTGCCCCTTTGTCCTTGTTCGGCCTCATTCGTATGAATATAACTTGATGCTAACGTCTGTCTTCTTTAAAACATAGGCCGCTCCTTCGGATGAAAAGAGAGAGGAAGCATGGACTACAGTTGCCAGGCATCCCTGGTTCCGTGTGGACAAGATAAATACATTTCCAAGTAAGGACTTTTGCTTTCCCCCCATTGTGGTGGATGGGAGTGGGGACAGGTGCCATTTCTATACATCAGAGACCTGGGGTCCCCATGTGCAGGAGAAGCTGAACAGATGAGTTTGGCCTGCTGAGAGTATCAGCAAGCCACCAAACAAACAAACAAGCCCAAACTTTCACTTTCATCGAGTCGATTCTGACCCACAGTGACCCCATGGGTTCCCAAGACTGTATGCAAGTAGAAAGCCTCATCTTTCTTCCTTGAAGCAGCTGGTGGTTTTGAACTGCTGACCTTGCTGTTAGCAGCCCAGCTCATAGCCCACTACGCTCCCGGGGCACTCTATCAGCAAGGCACAGTGACAGACAGAACTAGCTTCCAGAGCCTGGCCACAGAGAGGGGATTGATGAAGGGGATTCAATATTCCTCACTTGAGGGATTTTGTTAGAGGAGGGGTCCTGGAGGGGTTCTTGGAAGAGGTGGTGGATTGTGGTTGCTAATGTCCTGTCTGTAAAGTCTCCTAGGGAAGTCCCGGCTGGGCTGGGTGATGTGTCCCTGCACTGCTATATTTCTGGCTAAAATGTGTCTTCTGAACAACACCAAAGCAAACTCACTGCCACTGAGTCATTTCTGACTCAGAGCCACTGAGTAACACAGCGTGGAACTGCCCCTGTGGGTTTCTGAGACAGTGAACTCTTTACAGGACTAGAGAGCCTCATCTTTCTCCCCAGGAGCAGCTAATGGTTTTGAACCGCTGACCCCCTGTACTACCAGGGCTCCCTGCTGAACAGGAGGACAGTGTTACTGTATGTGAGAGACCGAGCAATCGTAGTGCTTCACTGAAGAATTTCCCCACGCCAGTCTACATCCCCGTTTCGGATTTATGTGCTCCGCAGTACCAGGCAGCTTTTGTGCTCAGTTATTTGAAAGGCAGGGTTTTCACTAATTCATGTCAGCGCCGGTGAAGTTCCTCCCGTTGATCTGGGTTGAGCTTATCAGGTGGTGATCCTTGGAATGCCAAGTCCGCTGGGTTGGCCTGCCTTGGCCTAAATTCTCCCTGTTGAAGGGCGGCGGTCAGAGGGACTGAACTTGGTTGCCTCTGGCCTGCGAACAGACCCACGCAGAGGATGACCTCCGCAGCTGTCTGCTCTGGCCCCACAGTTTCCAGAAGCTCGGGGACTGCAACAGCTTGCGCAGTTAGATAAGGCTGGTGGGAGTCGCCTCGGGTCTGTGTGGGACTATCTGAGAACTGAGGGTTTGAAGCTCATCTCTGCCATCTCCTCGAGGGCTGTGTCCCCCGCTGGCCACGCAGGGCAAGCGAAGGACGCCTGAAGCCAGCCTTCCAGGCCCAATGGTGCGTTTTTCCTCTAGGCTCACTCACTCACGCACCCGTGCACCCAGCGTGTAGGTATACAGTAGACTGTTGCTAAGCCCCGCAACCCCCTCGTGCCCACTTGTAGTCGTTACCCCTGCCGTGAACTGCATTCTGCCCTCCGAGTTCCAGTCGTTCTGCAAATGCCATCATGCGGCGTGTGCCCTTTTCGTCTGGCTTCTTTCCGTCCGCACGATCCCTTCTGGGTCCGTTGATGTCCTGTGCCGTTCATGCAGCGTCCCATCACGGTGTCATGTTCCTTTGCACGACGACGCCCAAACCAAACTCGTTCCCGTCAAAGGGATTCCAGCTCACTCACAGGGACCCTGCAGGGCAGAGGGGACGGCCCCATAGGACTTGCGAGGCTGTTGGTGGAAGCAGACTGTCACGTCTCTGCCCTGCACACCTTCCCATGAGCAGTCTGTCTCCAGGGCTCCTTTCTGTGTGACTGTGAAAGGACCCACTTCACTGCCATCGAGTCCACTCTGACTCACAGTGACCGATGGACAGAACTGCCCCTGTGTGGTGTCCGGGGCTGTCTTTCTTTACGGGTGCAGAAAGCCTCATCTTTGCCCAGTGGAGAGGCTGGTGAGCCCAAACCGCTGGCTGTGTGATTAGCAGCCCAACTCCTAACCCAGGACACCACCAGGCCGGGCTCCTTTGTGTGGCCCTCTCTCTCTGTTTATCCATACCGCAGTGGATGGGAATTTGCCAGGTTTTGGGGGGTTTTTTTTGAAACCACGATGATGCCACATGTATGAGGCAGAAGTAGATGGGGCCCAGACCTGACCTTTTTGAACCTTGGGAAAATCCTGGACATGTCTAAGTCTGAGAAAGGCCTGTAATAGTATTTTTCCCCTAACTCGGCATGATGGAGCCCTTGTGGGGCTGTCGGTTGAGTGTTGGGGGTTCCAACCCTTTGGCCGCTCTGAGGGGGAAAATGAGACTTTCTGCTCCCGGAAAGGTTTACCTCTGTGCAAATCCTATATCGAGTCACTACGAGCCGGGGTCCACTTGATGGCAGTGGGCTTGGGGGAACTCAGAGCTTGTGTGAGGGAGGGGAGCCAGCGCTTTGGGTTGCGTGATTGCCTCTAGGCGTGTGACTTCTTCACATCCCTGTTTGTGTACCTTGGGGCTGGGGAGGTCTTATCAAGGTGCCAGCCCTTTCAGCCAGTGATACCTGCCTTCGTTTTCTAGAGTTTTCTCAAGCTTTGCCTGTTCCGGAATGGTGGTTACTCTTGACCCAGGGAAGTCGGTCATGGGGTGCTGGTGGTGTCCACACATACGTTCACCACAAGCACCTAAAGGGGTGACTAGAGACTGATTGGAGAAAAGAGAGACCCCAACTGCAGTATAAGTGGCTTCAGCCAAGAATGTGACCCGGCTTGTTTCTCTCCCCTAAGGAATGAGCTCCTGCTTCACCTCAAGACCTACAACTTGTACTATGAAGGACAGAATTTGCAGCTGCGACACCGCGAGGTAAGGGGTGCCCAGGCAGGGCAGTCTGTGTAGCTTCTTGTTTGCTGGACCAACCATGCCCTGTCTTCAGATGTCCCGGACCGGAGGGTGCCCTGAGGTCCCAAGATACCCCAGCCTTCCTCTCGCCAGGAGTGGTCTCTCATTTAGGATGGGAAGAGGGAGTTTCTGGGGTTCTGTGGAAGCGCACCTCAGGCCAAGTTTCATTCTACAAACCACGAGTATTTCTGGTCCAGAGATAAGTGGCTGTGTGGATGGGCCAGTTCTTGCCTCGGAGGTGGGGGTTCCCCAAAGAGAAGCTCTCTTGGAACAGCCCTTACCGATAGCTCTCAGGCAGGCTGTCCTCGTCCTGGGAGACCCAGACACCTTGCCCAGGCCTCTGTTTTTGCACCCCCGGCCTCAGGTGTACCGATACACTCACCTGGCCCGGTTCTGTAAGCTCTGAGGTGGGAACTGGGTTCTTCCCCGCACTGTGGCCTCCTTCCCAGCTGCCCTCGTTGGAGTTCCCTTTGTCCCCCATCTGTCTTTCTCCCCCAGCCCCCATCCAGAAGCTAAGCTTACTCCTCTTGTATCCATTTCTGAAGCGCCTGTTATCAGATAGGTGGCGAGTTAGCAAGGAGCCTGGTGGAGTCATCTATACTCCTGTGTTCTCCACTGATAAGAAAGCACGTGCAGGACCTTTCCAAGAGCACATTTCAGGTCACCAAGCCATGGCGATTTCATCCATGGAAATGGATATCAAATGGTGGCATTTCAACCCAAGGCAGGCTGGCTGGGGATAGTGTTTGGGATGCAGTAGCCTGCTTTATTGCCCTTGATCCACTTAGTCCAGTCCTGTTTTGGGCTATAATCTGCCCGACATTTGTGTCATGAAGTGATGACACAAACACTGTCAAGCTGAGAGACTGCAGAAAAGTCTGCCAATAAATCATGTCTTTGCCCCCCAAGGCCCCAAAGTATCCTAAAGTCACTCTGTCCCTCTCCTGCCCTGATTTCTCCCACAACCGGGATGATGCTAGGACGCTGGATAGTTACTGATTTGGACAGTGGTCATCTTCACCCATTGAACTTATTTTGAGGGTGTGACCATGGCTCAGTCTGACCTGTGAGCCCTGCCCCTACAGCGTGGGTTCAGAAAGGCTCTGCTGTCAAAGAGTCTGTTAATTAGAAGCTGGGTCATGAGCAGACTGAAGTTCTTAAACCCCTTTCCTGGGGTGTGCACCACAGACGAGTCGGTATACTCCATGGACAAAAGGGTCTGTCTGGTCCTACAGGGGATCCGCTTCTTTAGGATAGAACCTGTAAGTGACCTTGGAAGGATTTCGTGTTAGTCAACAACCCCTTGAGTATGAATTTGGCAGCTCTTGCAGGATTCATTCACCCCTTGGCGGATCCTAAGACAGCCCGTTAGTTTCTTAGAGGCTCAGGGAAGTCCTGCGGTAAAGAAACCTTATTTGTGATGGTGAGCCCAGCATCTCTCAGCTATGATCACACTCCTAACACCTCTCAGAAGCACCCACTGATCCGCTAGAGGAGCTAGTGCCTTGCACAGTCACCATGGGGGAAGTCCTGCTTTGAATCTGCCCGCAGTGGATGGGTGAGATGACCACGCCTACCCAACTAATGACACTTGCCACAGTATGGGAGGGGCCTTAGCTCATTCAAGAGTTCTCTCAATTCTGTAGGCAAAGGTGAGTCTGACTTTTTCAAGAAGATAGGTTCTGCTTTTTTTTTTCTTTTAAGGTGTTTGCATAGAAAAATCTTTTTTTAAATTCACACAAGTAAATTTTAATTTCAAGACAACAAAAGAAACAGGCAGAGTCAGTGTCAGAGCTGGGGTAGGAACTTGATGACCCCCCTCTCTCCCCAGCCCCCGTGAGCGTAGCTCAGGCTGCCCAGCTAGGGCGCATCCAGTTTGCTGTCCGTTGCCCACAGCCAGGTGCCGGGCTGTGGGAGGCTGTGGATTCACGGGGGCCCCCTGCTTTGTGGGCAGGAGGAAGATGAGTTCATCGTCGAGGGGCTGCTGAACATCTCCTGGGGGCTGTGCCGGCCCATCCGTCTGCAGATGCAGGATGACAATGAGCGCATCCGCCCCCCACCCTCCTCCTCTTCCTGGCACTCCGGCTGCAACTTGGGGGCACAGGGGTGAGTGAGGGGGTGTCTAGGGATCCCTGGGGAGGGGAGGGGTTTCTGTGTGCTCTCAAGCTGATCAACACTTCTTCCAGCCAGCCCCCCCAGGCTGGCTCTGTCGCCCCACCGCCTCCACTGCTACCTGATTTGGGCTTGGAATGAGGAGCCAAGGGCAGAGAGCTGTGTGCCTCCAGTCTCTGACTGAGAGACACTGTGTGGGGTGGGGGGAGAGGCTGAGTCAGGGAGGGGAAGTGCCAAAGCCTGGGTGAGCCGAGTACCCCACCTCATGGAAAATTCTGGAGTCTCAGGATGGTTGCTAAGGGCCAGCTAACCCCAGCCTGGGGATCTCTCCGAGGACTCTCAGTCCCTCGGCTTTCACCCTCCTGCGGCACTTGTAGAACTGGCTCTTTATAACATGGCTCCCCTCTGGACATGTTCTGACCAGAGCTCTCCTTGGTTTGGGGCACCTTGGAGAGGAAAAAGAAGCCTAGGTCAGCCAGGGGTCTGCTCTGGGCAGGTCACGCTTGGACCAGGCCCTCCTCTGCCCCCCACCCCCCACTGGAATGGCTGTGGGAATCAACCCTTCCTTCTCGACCCAAGGCAGCCACGGAGCATGTCTAGAAGGCACACCCTCAGTTCTGTCTTTCTGGGGCGTCCGTGTGTAGGACCAACCAAAACCTAAAACATGCTGATACCGACTGTCTTCGGGCCAGGACCCCGGTGGAGGGAGTGCAGCCCTCAGCCAAAACCGCAGGGCTGCTTTTGCTATTTTAAATGAGAGCCAAGCTCTCTGTGCTTGGCCCGGCCGGACGCTGCGTTAAACTCCCACAGCCAAATCGCGCTCCCACATGTGGAGAGAAGGCTGCCGTGTGGCCAAGCCCCGGAGCTGATCTGGTTTCTGTCCACAGCAACTGCAGGAGGAAAACGGCTCTTGCCCAGACCGCTGGCCGCTGGCTGGGCTCTGGGGTCAGGGGGTCTTTGATTTCATTTCATTTGCTGGATTTCACACTTCGCTTCGCCTTCCGCCGTCCAAAGGAACCAGATCCATTTCATGGCTCCGCCCCAGCCCAGGTTACATTCTGTTCCCCACATGAGTTGAAAACATTTTTAAAATTCCATCCGACCTTATGCCCTTTGCCAGGCGGCCTGTCAAGGCGTCCTTCACACGGCACAGGGGCTTCTCCCCCCGGCCCTGGTGTCTGTTGGCTCTGGAAACGTCCACATGCTCGAAGACTCAGAGTTTCAGGCCTGGCCAGTAATTTCATCCCTGGTTGCAGCTGCCACAAAGTGAACGGATGCCCGCATTTCTGCGCCGCACTGTTCCTGCTTCGGCTTTGAAGGAGGGAGCGGGGAGGGCTTCTCGGTGACAGCGATCCTTGTGCTTGAGAGGGTCTGACCAGGTCTGCCCCAAGGCTCAGCTCCTGCAGTAAGAGGAGTACCCACCTGTCTTCTCAGAAGTGTCACCCAGGTGACACGAGGCTTCTCTCGACAGTGTTGCAGCAAACACTCGCTCTTCTCATCACTTGTCCCTGCCTGCGGCTGGTGAGTCCACTGGGACTCACGAGGACCTCGCGGACAGAGTGAAACACTGCCAGCTCCTGCGTCATCCTCCCAAGCACCAACACCCGAGTCCCTCCACGAGGCTCTAGGGCCAATCCATCTGGCTCAGCCATGGACTGCATGGTGGTGATGCCTTGAACCGTGACCCGCAAGGGCAGCAGTTTGAAACCACTGGTCCCGTAAACAGTTACAGTCTGGGAAATTCACAGGGCGCAGTTCTGCCCGGTCCAACTCGATGGCAGTGTGTTATAGCAGAAGCACCGTAAGTGGGTGACGGTCACACACGCACGTTTATTTTCTCCTCGGTTAGTAGGCTAGCAGTCTGGACTCTAGGGAAAGCCTTTCCTTCCCTGTCAGTTCTGGAGGAAGGTCCTGGTCCCCCTGAGCATCAGAGTGAATCTTCATCCCTGGCACCCGTTAACCTGCTGTCTTTATATTTTGTAAGAGCTGGCCTCAAGACACGGCTTACACTGAATCCTCTCTCGTGAGCAGCACAAAGACGGCCCACTCTTGGAATGGAATAATAATCATGGGCACAGAGGTTCAGTTTACAACACGTATTTTTGGAGGACACAGCTCAACCCATATCCCCTGGCCTGGCCGGCCCTGTGTCTCCCCACCGTGAGCACGATGCCCACCCTTTTGAGGATGTGTCCAAAGCAAACACGAAGCACACGTCTGTCGTGACCGTACGGTTTTCACTGGCTAATTTTCAGAAGTGTGGCAAGTGAGCTCACTGGCTTTTCTTCCAAGCCTGCCTTAGACTGGAAGCTCTGTCAGAGACCCGTCCCCCAGGCTGCGATTCCAGAGCCAGAGGAACACGCAGCTTCCATCATCACAGCAACAGACAATCCCCTGCAGCCCGGAAAACTGACAGGCGTCTCACTACAGGGTGGTCTTCATGGATCACACACGTGTCTTCCTGTCTGGCCACCACCTCTGCGGACCATGCGTGTGTTTCGTAGAGCTTCCCCATGGTTCTGTTCGGTTTGGGGGAAGTGTGTGTGGTCCCCACTCCAACTGCCTCCTTGTGGTCCTCTCTCCGCCTGCCTGAGGGCTCTGCCCCTGTGCCTCCGAGAACACTCTCATCAGTAGCCTTCCCACGCTGCCCGCCCTAGAGCAGCCCACCCAGTACTTCCACTTGGCCTCTCGATGCCAGAAGCACTGTTGCTCTGAAAGAAATGGAACTGAACTGGAATCCTGTGCCGAGAAGTAAATGGCCATGATGGGGCTTTTCCTTCTAACCCACAGAACTCATACGTGCTTAGAAAGTCAGCCCAGGCAACACGAGGGTGTTGTTCTTGGGGAGTCTCCGTCTCGGGCTCGATGAATTGGGTGCTCGTGTCATCCCAGATGCTGGAAAAGAACGTTTTTCTCTCTCCAGAGCCCGCCACACTCCACCCTTCGCGCTCAGCCTGGGAACCGGGCCAGCACAATGGGATGCTCAGTCCAGCCACCCCATCCTCCATCGCCTGTCACTGGCCCGGGCACAGGCCATGTGCTTTGGAGTGAAGGGGGCAGCTGTGTCCCTGCAGGGGCTGAGCTGGCCTCCTGACGGGTCGTTTTCTGTCCCCAGCACCATCCCGAAGCCCCTCAACATGCCAAGCATCCAGGTTTCAGATGTGGACGGGCCGCCCGAGAGTGACCAGATGCTGAGCCCCACAGGTAGATGGGCTGCGGGGGAGGAGGCTATGGGACGGGGGTGCTGTGGGAGTAGGGGGTTGGGAAGACAGATGTGTTAAGTGTTGCGAAATAGAATTTAACTTCTGAAAAAGAAAACACATGTCATGCGGTTCAAATTTTTTAAAGTATTACAAGGAAAATGGTCATATTCTCCCACCTCACCCACTCATCACTGGGCTTTTTCTCTCCAGACGTGAGCAGGGTGCCTCCTTCTTCCCAAGATACCCGCAGCAAATACACACCAACACATCATTTTCCTTCTTGTTTTAAGAAAAATAATATTTTATTGTGTTCTAGGTAAAAGTTGACAGAACAAATTAGTTTTCCATTGAGCCATTTTTATAAACTCTTCTATGAAATTGGTCACGTGTTCACAGTGTCTTGGCAGGCCCATTCTTGTTCCTGCCCTTCCTTAGCCTCTCATCTCTGATTTCAGGGTCAAGGTTGACCGTTTGGTCTCCCATAGTGGATAAGTTAAGAAGCACAGTGCTCGCGGGTGATGTTAGTTATTTAAAAAGCTATTTCATTAGGTGGCTGCAAGGTGACTTCTGGAAGTGGCTTCAATTCCTTGTTCAAAGTTATCCCAGGATAATAGTTCCTCTAGTCTCTACTGGTCCACTAAGTATGACTTTTTTTAATTAAAAAAACATTTTTAATAATTTTATTAGGGGCCTGTACAACTCTTTTTTTATTTTTATTTTTTAAAACATTTTATTAGGGGCTCATACAACTGTTATCGCAATCCATACACACATCAATTGTGTAAAGCACATTTGTACATCATTCTCAAAACATTTTTCTCTCCACTTAAACCCCCGACATTAGGTCCTCATTTTTCCCCACCCTCCCCTCCCCCCTCCCTCATGAGCCCTTGATAGTTTATAAATTGGTATTTTGTCCTATCTTGCCCTGTCCGACGTCTCCCTTCACCCACTTTTCGGTTGTCCATCCCCCAGGGAGGAGGTCACATATAATTCCTTATAATCGGTTCCCTCTTTCCTACCCACTCTCCCTCTACCCTCCCTGTTTCACCACTCACACCACTGGTCCTGTAGGGCTCATCTGCCCTGGATTCCCTGTATTTTCAGTTCCTATCTGTACCAGTGTGCCTCCTCTGGTCTAGCCAGACTTGCAAGGTCGAATTCGAGTCATGGTAGTGGGAGCGGGGAGGAAACATTTAGGAACTAGAGGAAAGTTGTATTTTTCATCGTTGCTACATCGCACCCTGACTGGCTCGTCTCCTCCCCGAGACCCCTCTGCAAGGGGATCTCTAGTGGCCTGCTCATGGGCTTTGGGTCTCCACTCCGCACTCCCCCATCATTCACTATGGTAAGATTTTTGTTCTGATGATGCCTTAGGGTCTTCAGAGTCTTTCAAGTGGAATTGCTCATCTGAGGCTCTGGCCATTAATTGTCTGAGAAGCCACCCCCATTTGCCCTTGCCACTTCCTTCTAATAGCAGCAGGCCCTTAGACGGCGCCGGTTTGGGCCAGGCACTGTTCTAGAGCTTTCCATGTATGAACTGCTGGAAACCCTGCCTAAAAATCGTATGAGGTGGGTGCCGTCATCCTCCTCCTTTTACGCATGAGCAAACTGAGGCACAGAGTGGTACGGCGATCTGACGATGACGGAGCTGAGATTCAAACCTGGGAACCTGGCTCTGAAGTCTGGGCTTTTAACCTCCTTGCCGGTACCCACCTCTCAGTAAAGGTTACACTGTAGTTTTCTCCTCCGCAATACTGTTTTTTATATGTAGATAGAGATACAGACATTGAGCCAATGGTGAGAGAGTGGAGTTAAGCAGAGGTGGACATGCCGGGTTTCCAGATCTGTGCCTCTCAGACCCTCCACTAGCCAGGAGTGCATTGAAGCTCTAGGTGTGTACGATGGCAGGAGTCCAGGTCCAGCTGTGTGCAGGGCACCAGGTATGCAGCAGTTAGCATTTGTTAGCCATCTTGGCCAATTTGACCCAGCTGGCTTGTCCTTGCCCGGCCTCATGACCGTGGACTCCACTACTCTCCCCACCAGAGATCTCCCTTCCTCTTACGGGGTCTTTGGAGACCCAGGGTCGAAATCAACACGGAAGTCCTGCCCCAGCAGGTCCAGCTGCCTGCAGCTTTTAAGGCCAACGTGCTTTCACAGATTATTGTGTTTTCAGGCAAAGCCAGCTCAGGAAAAGCCAAATGTCATGGGAAGCAGGGTCCTGCCACCGTTTCCCAGCCTCCCTTGCAGAGGGCACTACCGACTTGGGCTGGGTGTGGGTGCCATGGCTCTGCCCACAGAGAGGTGGCCAAGTGCAAGGCTGCCACATTCCAGGGCTCCATCCCCTCTTCTTTCCTCCCAGAGGCCAGAGGCCTGAAGCCCCTGCAGGAAGACACCCCCCAGCTGATGCGCACTCGGAGTGATGTTGGGGTGCGTCGCCGCGGGAACGTGAGGACCCCCAGCGACCAGCGCCGAATCAGACGCCACCGCTTCTCCATCAACGGCCATTTCTACAACCATAAGGTACAGTGGAGAGGAGGCTCCTTCCTGGGCAGCTGGGCTCCCACATTTGAGCACCCCCTTCTTCCATGCTCCCGTCTGAGCTGGACTCCTCTGTTGACAGACATCGGTCTTCACACCGGCCTATGGCTCTGTCACCAACGTCCGCATCAATAGCACCATGACCACCCCGCAGGTCCTGAAGCTGCTGCTCAACAAATTTAAGGCAAGTCCCTGTGGGGTTGGCAGCTGGTCAACAGCCTGCGTGCTGTGGGGCTCCCACTGGGGCACGCAGGGAGGGTGTACAGTGTCAGGGACAGGGTTGGTTTGTTGAGATCCGTCCTGCAGAAGGTTGGGCCCCAGACCCACACCATCGACCTCATCTGGCACCCTCTCAGAAAAGCAGATTCTCAAGCTCGGCCCTAGACCTGCCAACCCAGAACCCCTGAGGGCAAGGCCAGGGCACCTTCGTTAACCAGACTTCTGAGGTTCACTAAAGTCTTAAGTTCTTGGGCACTTAAGGATTCCTAGGAGTCCCTGGGTGGCAAAATGCTTGTGCCAAAGACACAAGTGCTTGATTACCAGCCAAAGGGTTGGTGATTCGAGCCCACCCACAGGTGCCTCAGAAGATAGGCAGGCCTGTGTGCGTTTCTGCAAGGTCCCAGCTGTGAAAGCCCTATGGGGCAGTTCAGCCTGGCATGCATGGGGTTACTAGGAGGCAGGAACGAACAAGAGAAGCTCCCGGGGCTGGAAGAGGGAGGGGGGCTCCCACATTAACTTCTGCAAAACACTTGGGGAACCCACTTTGGAAAATGCTATTTAAATAGATGGATGTAGATGCCTCGTCTTCCAACCCTGCTACAGCCCGGGAGGGGCTGACCCAGATCTGGGTGTGGTGGGCTAGGGTCTTGTGTACTCAGGACAGAGGGTTAGGAAAGAGGAAGGCATGGACACCAAGAACACTAGCGTAAGCGATGATGGGGTGAGGGGATTGAAATGGGTAAACTGAATCAGCATGTATATACATCATTGAATGAAAAACGGATGCTCCTCTTTATAAACCTTCACCCAAATTCACTATGAAAAAACCAAAACCAAAAAACCAATGCCTTTTAGTGCATGGGTAGTTTTAAAGCTCTGTTGAAAAGTGAGGCTTCCTAGCCCCATAAAGAATTGCAGGCTTAGAAACAGGGCAGTTCTACCCTGTCCCTCTAAGGGCTCCATGGTTCAGAATTGATTCAATGGCAGGGAGCTTATGCTATTTGTTTTTATTTTTTATTTTTTGCCATGCCCCTTCTAATTCTATGGGGAACCACGCATTTCTGTTTTTAATGCGTGCCCATGTAGCCTAATGGCCTAAAAGCGTAGACTTCAGCCTGCAACCTGTGAAATTGATCTTTATAGGTGCCCTTCCGTTTTTGGTTCCAGGAGTCTTAGATACTTAGATACTTTGCACATTCTGTATTATGATTATTGATAGATTGGACCAAGGGTTCAAATCCTTGCTCTATCATCTACTATTTGGATGAAGGTTTTTGTCCCTTAATCTCCAAGTGCTTCTGTTTGCTCACCCCAAACAGAGAACATGTTTTATTACATGGATTAAAACACGTATGTTGGACTGTGCCTCCCAGTTGCAACACGTGAGCCATTATCATCTATTGTTGGCGATACAGTTAGCCTGCCTCGGCCCCTCCTCACTACTGAGAACTCTCTAACTTCAACTCCATACTCACTGCCATCGAGTTCTGTCCTAACTCCTAGTGACCCTGTAGGACAGGGTAGAATTGCCCCTGTGGGTTTCTGAGATGGTAACACTTTACTGGAGTAGAAAACCTCATCCTTCTTCCACGGAGGAGCTGGCGGTTTCAAACTACTGCCCTTGTGGTTAGCAGCCCAGCTTGTAACCCTGTACACCACTAGAGCTCCCCATAAGAGCTCCCAAGAGAGCCTAGAACCTATTTGCGTTGCGGTCTTCTTAGAGAAGGGAGAATGGTCTCTGGTCAGGATGCACGCAGGCCCGCTTTCAACAAGGATCTTGTGCTCCCAATTCAGATCGAGAATTCACCGGAGGAATTTGCTTTGTACGTCGTCCATACCAGCGGTGGTGAGTCCAAAGGACACGGTGTACTTCCAGACTTGTAATTACCTCAAAATAGAGAGTTAAGGAAATACCGCAGCCTCATTTGCTTGTTATGTGGGTTTGGGAGACTTCCCAACGGCCTTTGCCTCCCAGGCTTCCTGGGGCTTGCGGGATGCAGCTACTGGGGGTCCCATCGATGGTCAGTCATCCTAATCCCGAACCTGAACCTGACTGATTCTTTGTAGAGGAGCTGGGGTTTTCTTGAGGGACAGATAAAGGCACCTCCCACCCCCACGCCCACCATAGCAGCACCTGCTCCCTGGTTGTTGGCTTAATGTGGTATGTGTGGGAGAGAGAGGGGGGTGGGATGGGGAGAGAGAAAGCAGCCACATTTCAAGAACCACGTTGGTTCATTGATCCACAAATCAGTCTCCTGGTTTTCATGGCCGCCCTGTTGGGCTGGGTGGGAGTTAACCATTGCTCGAGGTGAGAGGGGCCCCAGGTGACACTCAGGTGTGCGTGTGTGTGTGTGTGTGTGTGTGTGTGTGTGTGTGTGTGGTTTCAGAGAAGCAGAAGCTGAAGCACACCGACTACCCGCTGATCGCCCGGGTCCTCCAGGGCCCCTGTGAGCAGGTGTCCAGAGTGTTCCTCATGGAGAAGGACCAGGTGGAGGAAGTCACCTATGACGTGAGTCCCCTTTGGGTCGCGAGGTCTGCCTTCTGGAGGCTGGGTAGTTGGTTGGATTTCCAGCAACTTGGGGCATACCGTATATCCTCGAGTATAAGCCTACCCAAATATCAGTCGAAGCACCTAATTTTACCCCCAAAACTGCATTAAAAATGTGCTGAAAAACTCGGCTTATACAGGAGCATATACAGTAACTGTTTTGTTGCTCAAGGACCATAACCCCTCCCCACCTTTTTAAAAATTTTTTAACCACCATAAAAATACAAGCGTTCACCAAGTCAAGAACCATGCCATTTCTACATGGGTAATTCATCGGCCACCTTCTTCTAGTTACTCAACCCTAGTTGCTCACTGTCTTTGATGAAATGATTCCTCTAATGATCTTTGGTTTCAGCGTGGAGAACTCGTTTTGCCCTTCTGTGAGTGGCTTATTTCTCTCTGCTAACATTTTCAAGGTTTGTCATTGTTCTACCGGGCACCAGGACTTCATTTCTTTGTGAGGCTGAGTAATTCCATGCTCCTGTTCAGCAGCCATTCCTCAACACCCGGTTTTCTCCAAGCCATAATGGCCGTGGCCAGTAGTGCACAATACCAGTGCACTTCAGCCTGCAACCTGTGAAATTGATCTTTATAGGTGCCCTTCCGTTTTTGGTTCCAGGAGTCTTAGATACTTTGCACATTCTGTATTATGATTATTGATAGATTTCTTCCCATTTTGAGTCATGCCCCATCAATAAACGAAGGTCCCAAAGACTTAACTCTGTCCATATAATTATGGTCGACTCTACTTTGAGACGGCGGCTCTTCCTAAGTCTTATTTTGAGTGCGTTCCGACCCGAGGGACTCATCTCCCAGCACGATATGACAACATGGAACTGCTTGCTATCTGTAAGGTTTTCAGTATATTTGACCGTGCTCAACTGCTGTTTGTTAGGTTGTCAGTGGCTAATCACTCAGAAGTGGACAGCCTTCCGTCTTTGTAGTCTGTTCTTAGTCTGGAAGGTCTGTCAGAACATGCTTACTCCTTTGATGGGCCCTGGTGGTATTTGAAATACCGACGACATAGCTTCTGGCCTCACAGCATCATGCAAGCCACCATAGCACGACACACTGACAGATTAGTGGTGGCTTGCTTTTTACAGTATAAAGCATTTCTTTTTTATTCATATTTCCATGGGCAGTGGCTCTGCTTTTGGCTACGAGTTGGGTTCACATCTGCATGGTGACTCTTATTTCCAGACCCAGATGTAAATGGTTGCCCGATGAGGACATGCTTCTCATGGTAGGTGGTTGATGGCAAGAAACCACAGCAAACCATGCAAGCTCATTTGCAGGGCATCGGTGTCGGTCATGCCCACACACAGCCCATTGGCCAAAGCAAACTAATGGCCCAGCGCAATGTCAACAGGGTAGGGGAATAGCCTTCGATGGAGAGGAGTTGATAGAGCAGGGTGAGCATCCTGGTGCGGGGCAGCTGTTGGGGTATAGTTCACCTGGGATCCACCCCTACAGCCTCTCAAAAGCAAATTCACGTTTGTCTTCCCATTAGATACCTGAGACATGGTTTATTATTCTGACCTCCTGGCTCCCCAGATTCCCTTAGAGGGGAGCAGTGAGGAGGATTAAAGATCACAGGTTCTGGTCTTCTTCCACATCACTGAATGGAGAGGCCTGGGGATGTAAGATGGAAAAGGAGGCGATATGGGGGTGGTATGCGAATGAAGTGATCTTCATGGAGACTTGAGAAGAATGAGGCTTGCTAGGCTCCTGCCCTTAACACACACACACACACACACACACACACACACACACACACACACACACGGATTAGTAGGGGAAATAGATTCCCCAAAGTTTTGTGCCGTTGTGTGTGAGAAAGGGCTTGGCAGAAGTGCTGGGAGGCGGTGCATGCACCCAGACTTCTCCTCCCTCCCCAGGTGGCCCAGTACATAAAGTTCGAGATGCCTGTCCTTAAAAGCTTCATTCAGAAGCTCCAGGAGGAGGAAGATCGAGAAGTCAAGAAGCTCATGCGCAAGTAAGTGTGGTCTCAGGGGCTGGCTGGGTTTCTCCTGGGACGGCAGCGCACATGCCTTCCGGGGACTCTGTCGGGCTGGTGAGGGGGCTTGAGTCTTAGGGGCCATCTTTGAGGAGCTGCCCGTTGTCAAACCTGAGTAAGGACGTGAGACGGAGTGTGGTGGCCGCCTTGCTTTTCCTGTCCGCTTCTCACTTAGATGGGAGATGGGCAGGTTTCTGATTTCTCACCCTTCATGCGGCCTTCTGAAACCAAGACGGCCTCCATGGTCACCAAGCCGAGTCCGGCCCACGGCAACCCCGCAGAGCGCCAGTCTCCACAGACGGTTAGCAGCCCGAGGCCTGTCCCACCGCAGCACCAGGGATTGTTCAAAACAGAGATAGTGCTGGTTTGCAACGTCTTTTACGCCTCGATTCAGACACAAGAAAGGGGGCTTTATTTTGGTTTCTCCAGGGTTATTTTCAGTCTCCTGTCAGCAGGAAACAGGTGCCCATTCAAATAAAGGTCCTTGGAGGAGCCTTTGATAGAGGATTTTAGGGAACCATAGGGACAGTGTCGTCCTTAGGCCTCGGTACAGACTGATGGGCTTACCACTTCTTGCCTGAAGGGGTGAGGGCATGGAGTGGTAACCAAGAGCCAGTGGGAGGACCCAGGGCTTTCAGGAGAGTGTGTCAGCAGGGGAAAGTGGTCTGAGCTACCTCCCTCTAAAACCCTCTCCTCAGACGACCGCCTTCCCTTTGAAACAGCTGTGGACCTTTCTCTCAGATTGGAAAGTCACAGCCAGCCATTGCTTTGTCCCCAGGTACACCGTGCTCCGACACATGATTCGCCAGAGGCTGGAGGAGATCGCCGAGACCCTAGAAACTATCTGAGCCGTGAGAACAAGGGGGTCCCAGTGCCCCAGGAACCATTGCACACCTGAGGAGCCCCACAGGAGGCTGGGAGTCATCTTGCCACGGAGAACTCCAGATGCAAACTTCTCCTGCCACCTCCGTGCATCCCAGTGGTGCCTGGAGCGGGATGGAGCAGTCAGTAGACAAGCCCCCATCCTTGGATCCCCGATCTCCTTTCACTCACAGAGATTTTGCTTTATGTTCTGGGAAGGAGAGTGTGTGTGTGTGTGTGTGTGTGTGTGTGTGTGTGTGTGTGTGTGTGTTTTACTTACACACAGACTTGACTACTTAACATCTTTCACCTGTAATGACATTCCAAGTGGCCAGCGCCAGCACCACAAGGCTGGTGGATGTGGCTGCTCAGAAAGACCTGAGGGGTTTTAGACTGAAGCATTTTCTCCCTGCAAATGCCAGGCAGCAGCCACACAGTTCTGTCTGTGTTTGGGGGTTCGGCACGCTGCGGTGGGGTCTCTCACCAACTGGACTATTGACATGCTAGCAGAGATTCTTCCTGCGTCCCTAGAAGACTCGGTGAATGTGAGGTCCTTGGGAGAGTGTAAGTCACAGCCCACGCCCTTGGCGCAGGTTAAGCCCAGGAAAAGCTAAACCATCAGTGCGGTCGATGCAGTAAGCCCACAGCTTCTCACACTGGAACCTCCTCGGGTTTAAATGACAACACTGTCTGGAACCGTTTAGGTGCATGCCTAGAGAGAAGAAGCTGCTTCCACTGTGTCCTCCGGGCCGCCCCTGGGAGACAGGAGGGCACCCGGACACGTCTCTGTGCCTGTTCAGGCCACCAGTCCCATTACTTTGGCATTTCTTCAAGCACATGGGAAGGCCTCCTGAAGTCAGAACTCAGCTGGTTTGCCCGTGACACCGACGGTGTAGCATGGCCGGAACCTAGCCTTGCTGTGAAGCAGTGGCCAGGAATTTCCCAAGTCCCTTCCTAGGGGCTGAAGGGAAGTGTGGGCGCGCATGGCAGAACTGACCAGTGCCTACAACCCAGCCCATCCTTTCATCCTCTAGGGCAGCAGTTCCCAACCTGTGGGATGACCCCTTTCACAGGGGTTACCGGATTCTGAAGAACGACAGTGATGAAGTCTCAGTGAAAATAATGTTATGGTTGGGGGTCACCACCACATGAGGTGTGAAAGGGAAGGTGGAGATCCACTGCTCTGGGGTCTTCTGCCCTGGAGCTGGGCCATGTTTGAAGTCAAGGCTTGATTCTTCCCAGCCCCCGGGTTCTTTGTGGCCCACCCTCTGTGCTGGGACAGTGAGGACTCGTCCTGAGTGGACACAGCGGGTGCTCTTGGACCTTCCGTCCCCGTTAAGGTGTGAGGGAGGAAGAGGGCAGACAGCCCTGGAAGATGGCTGCTTTGAGAATCGGGGTGATTACCACATCGATCCGCAGGATGGCTTGGTGGGGCTGGGAGATGGAGAGGCCATGCCTGGAAACAGACTCTTGGACGTGGTAAGAAAAATGTGACCTTGTCCCTCTCCACAGCCCTGACCTGTCACTGTTCCGATTCTGGCTACTGCCCTGGCACTCCCGTATTTACAAATCCAGGTTGGCTCCCGCCTCAGTGTATCAGCCATGACCAGACTCTGGCCCAGATCGGGGCATTGCCACAGAGCCATGGCCCATGTGGCTGAGAGAGTTGGAGGAAGGTCAGAGAGAGACTTGGGGGAGGGGCCTGGCTGTGGAGGCCAACCCTGCCGGGCCAGCAGCTCCCGCAACAGGTGGCACAGGGCACTCCTCGCTTCCCTCACGTCTTCAGGGGGGTGTGGAGGGCTGTGAAGCTGAGGGAAGGGGTGCCCCTGGTGGGCGGGGCTTTAAAGGATTGCTCTCCTGTCCTGGACACCCTCTTGCTCTCCCTGGTGACCTTCACCTTGGCCTCTGGGGAAAGCTCATAGGTGAAATCTCCTGGTTGACTTGAACATCCTGCCGGGACTTTATTCCTGGTCTCCCACCTCCCCAGGAATGGCATGCCCACCCCTGTGGGGCAGGAGAGGAAGCACAGAGGTGCTGGCTCGTACTCAGGGCCCCAAGTGGGCTCCTGCCAAATGCACAAAACTAAGAACACACACACACACACACACACACACACACACACACACACGGCGGCATGGAGGATGGCTGCAGGGTACAGGAGGCAAAGGGCAGGGTGATGAATGCCCATCCAGCTCCTGCGTTCTGCATTTCAGAAAAAGATTTGGGGGAAAAAAAGAAATCTCTCCAGGTGACTTGTACCCTGAACTGGCCAGGCCTTTGCCTGTCCCGGTAATTTATCTCTGAGTGGCGGGGCGGGGAGACTGGAGGAAAGTAAATGGCTAACCGCAGACTTTTATTGGACATCCATGTCTGGCTCGTACACGCTCTCTTTCGTTTGCACTAGCGCCTGGAGAGTGTGAAATATGAAAGTGCCCCGTGATGCCAGGTGTGCCAACTGCAGGCCACTCCCGTGTGGACCGGGCCCTGCTTAGAGGTGGGCTCTCACGTGTACCTAGCACCCTAATGAGCAGTTTGGGAGGTGAGTTCTTTGAAGCAGTGGTGGAGGAAAGCCACACGCTTCGCCTCCACGTGGAGCGGATTGATTTTCTCCCTGGTGTCACGTGGCGCCGCGGCGGCTCCGTGCGGCTTTATGTCCTTGTGCGCAGTGGATCTGCAGCTGGGAGAACAAAAGGCCAACGTGCAGGGCTTTCCCTGACCCGTGAAAGCAGACTGGCCTCACCTGGTTGGCTTCTTCCAGAAGCTTCTGTTACAAGGCTTGTGATCAAGTGATGGAGCGCCTGAGCCCACCAGCCTGGGAAAGGGCTCAGACTCCCCGGGGAGGCGGTGGAGTTAAGCCCAAGGTCATGGTCACGGTGATCACATTAATGGGAGCACTATGAAGTGAATGGGGGTCGGGGAGGGGGGAGGTAGCTTAGTGAGCAATCAAAGAGCACAAATTCGGCATGCCCTCGCATGCGGAAGCCTTCCTTGAGTCAGATGAGCGGAGGCTTGTCTCCTGGAGAGGTGGGGATAAAAATATTCGTTCAGATGTAATTGAAAGCGGTCGTCCTATCATGGGCGATGGAGGCGCTTCTTGTGTTTCAGCCAGGTGTAAGAGAGGGCCGAGCTGTGAAGGAAAATGCCTTCCATTTGCGCTTGGAGGGTCCCCGAAAGCTCACCGCAGGTAGACACGTTTCCCGGGCAGATGGTTTCCGGATGTAATGAATGCCTAGTGTCCCAGGAGCATTCCCCCATCAGGATAACTCTGCCAAGGGTTCTTCTGTTAACCGTCGCTTGCCTTCCATCAATGGTACACGACCTGGTTCCATGTTTGGGTCTGAACTTAATCTAAACGGATGCGTTTAGGCATCTTACCACAATTTGACGAGGTCTCAGTAGGGAGCCATACATTTTTGTAATAATTTTATGTTGTCATGCACATGTCTTAGATGTAACTGAAATAAAGCACTTTTCAAAGAGAAGTTCCTCTGTGGGTGTGTGTGGATGTATTTGTGTATGTATGGGGGCTCGTATAGCTCTTAGCACAATACATACATACATCCATGTGTCAAGCACATTTGCACGTTTGTTGCCATCATCATTCTCAAAACATTTGCTTTCTGCTTGAGCCCTTGGTATCAGCTCCTCATTTGTGTGTGTGTGTGTGTGTGTGTGTGAATGTATCTCATTGAGGGCCTTCTTCCTTTTCAATGACCCTCTACAAGTGTGACGGGGACTGACTGCTGATGACGTGCCCATAGGATGTGAGACAGAGTCTTGCCATTCTCACTTCCAGGAACATCCTGCCTCCACTTCTTCCAAGACACATTTGTTTATATTCAGTATCGCTCGGCAACAGCATCATGCCGATGCACCCATTCTTCTCCAGTCTTCCTTGTTTGATGTCGTGCGCTCACATGCGTAAGCACCTTAGTCTTCAGAGTGACATCTTGCCTCTTTAACGGGCTGACCAGGTCTTTTGCAGCAGCTTGGCTCACCTCAATAGTTTCACTGATACTCACTTTAGTGACTAATCCCTGCGACTCAAGGCAACCCTATAGGACAGAATAGAACTGCCCATGGGGGTTTCCAAGACTACAAATCATGACAAGAGTAGACGGCCTCATCTTTCTTCCAACCCACGGCTGGTGGTTTTGAATTGCTGACTGCAGGGTTGCTATGGGTCAGAATTGACAATGCAATTTTTAAGAGGCAGTTCTAAAAAAATGTCTAATCCTTCAGAAGTGGGCTGTGTGTTCTTTCTCCCTAGTCTGTCGCAGTCTAAAAGCTCTGCTAAAACCGGTCCACCATGAGAACCCCATCTGGTATTTGAGAGCCAGTGGCACGGCTTCCAGTCTAACAGGAACAAGCAAGCCCTCACAGTACGACACACTGACAGACCGGTCCAGAGAGGTAGCAGCTGGCTGCCAACCTTAGACACAGCCGAGGAATGCCTGCGTCTCGCTAATGGACAGTAGTGATGTCTTCAAGGTGTCTGGGTACGACTTTGAGAAACACAAGGAGATAGTGACTGGTCAGATGGGAGGTGCTGTACAAAATCTTGAGTCCAACGTGAAAGGCTTAGCAGTCAACCTAAAAGTAATGGACGTATTTGCAGAAATGGATTCTATTGTTCAGCCTTCCTAGGGGTGCCACAGTCAGCATGCTTGGCTGCAGAGCAGCAGAATGAGTGTGAGGGAGAAAGCTCACAGTATACAGCTCTTAGGCTGAGGATCAGATTCTCTGGCACAAGCCAGACCAATCCTGAAGATACATACACCAAACAAACAAAATTTATATATATATATACATATATATATACACACACACACACTTGTGTACAAGCCGAGTTTTTCAGCACATTTTTCATACAGTTTTTTTTCTGTAAAATTAGGTGCCCTGGCTGATATTCGGGTCTGCTTATACTTGAGTATGTACTGTGTGTGTGTGGTATATATATATATCCTGTGCTGAAAGGCATATTTTCCACTACTCTCAGATGCCTTTAAGGCACACAGAGGGATGGGGGAAGAAAAAAGATGGCAATGGGGGACCAGGGCACCAATCCACCCAAGGGGAAGGCATTGTTTAAGTCTTCACAGGAAAGGGAGACCAAGAGTAGACCTCATTCTGGACTGCCAAACCTTGAGGGTGTTGTTGATGCACGGAGCAGCTTATTCCCAAAGATGACCACAGCGTTGGCCTCAGCTCATCACGTGATGCCCTGTCCCTAGATGACAGTGCTATAGAGGACAGCCCTGAAGACACAGTTCAGGGAGAGCCGCCGGCCTGATGCCCACACGGGCGCAAACAAGGAGAGAGTGCCACAGACCAGCGATGGGAGTGAGACCTCGAGGTCCCCGAGGAATCCCCATTGTAGACTTCTGACTCCGGGCGGCACTTGGCCCCTCACCCTGAACTGCTTGCAGGGTTACACACTAGGGGCCACACGGAAAGTCCAAAGGTGTAACAGGGCACTGTTGGGGTGGGGCACAAGATCACTTCATCCCTGACCGTAGGAAGAGCCATAGGGACCTGCAGGTTGTGCGCCTATTAGACACTGAAAGCTGAGGTAAACGGGTCCCTGGATATGGGACACTGGAAGAAAAGGGGATTGGGCTGAGGAATTATAACAGGTCTTGCCTGCTCCTTAGCAGAGAGAAATCCTTCTACTCTGGGTCAGGATATCAGTTAGACGTGGAACTATTTATATGGTCTTTCTCTTTTTGGTGTCAATTTATAGAAAATAAGCAGGACAAGCAACCCCATGGAGACAGCGATGGGACCATCGGTTCCGGGGGACATGGGAGGGGAGGAGGCTGAGGGAGGGGAATGGAGAGCCAATAATGACAGGGACAGGGGAACAATAAGGGTTATTAAATTGACAGTGAGGAAGGTGTAGTGTTCCCGGTCAGGTTAGATCACTCGAAAAGTGAGAGGAATTACTGAGAGGTGAACGATGTAAAGGCATAATAGTGGGGCCAGAGGAAAGAAGAAAGCAAATATATAGATCTATCATTATATAAATATAGGTGTATTTGTCTCTACATGTACATATATGTAAATTTAATTAGGAAGGCAATGGACTCTACTAAAATCTCACCTCAGCACAGGAACGGTTTGTTCTAATAATGTGACACTCTATGATACTCACCTTCCTGACACGAACACTGAAGACAAATAGGTGCATAAGCAAATGTGGTGACAAAAGCTGATGGTGCCTGGCTATTAAAAAATATAGTGTCTGGGATCTTAAAGGCTTGTAGTCAAACAAGCAGCCATTGAGCTGGGAAGCAACACAGCCCACATGGAAGAAGCACACCAGCCTGTGTGATCATGAGATGACGATGGACAGGCCCTCAGAGGAGCTGCGTTGGGGGATGGGGAATTCAGGCTGCGCTAAAGCATTGAAGAAACTCATAACTATCCTCTGGTCCTTTACCATTTCCTCCCCTTACTATTATCGCTTATGCTTCACCTCATAAGTACTGTTAGACCTACGTGTGTTCAGGTGTAAAAGTAAGATTGTTTGATGCAGGAATGCCAGGATGGATGATCCTTCAGAAATAGCAACGGGAGTGAAGATTCCCTGAGAATATGGGGAGACAATGGTGGGGGGAGGGGAGGGAAGGAAGGGGGCCCTGATAGCTATGACGACAACTGTATAACTCCACTCGAAGAGAGTGAATAACAGAGTGGTAGGTGAAAATATATATATAGAATAGAATATTATATATATATAACAATAACAGCCAGGGTTCCTGTGGGAAGTGTGGGGGAGAGAGGGGATAAAGGGCAGCTGATATCAAAGCGTTCAAGAAGAAAGAAAATGTTTTGAAACTAATTGTAGTAGCCATTGTACAATCGTGCTTGAACTATTTGAATTATGGAATGCTATGACATCTCTTAGAGCCCCCAATAAAATGATAACAAAAAACAAACTAAAAAACTCAAACTATCAATTAAAAGAGATTGACCTGAAGCTCTTGCATTGTATAAGCAAAAAGAATGAACTGTGAAACAATAAAATGATCGTCTTTGACTCATTCACAAGAAACCAACAAGTAGAGTTCAAAACAGTTCACTCCAGTGGACTCCCTGCTGGGAAGTTGTATTTCCACTTCAGATGCACTAAATCGGAATCCACATAAGAAGATTCCTCTAGTGCGCCTCCCCCCCTGTCCCCCCACCCCGTGATTCTTAGGCATCAGAAGAATGGGAATCTTGTTAACTGTGGGTTCTGATCCGTGTATCTGGGCCAGAAAGACAGGGATTCCTGTCAGCAGGTACTGACTGGTTTGAAGCCCTGGTTGAAAATCCCTGTTGTGAGGGGTGGCCCTCTCTGCAGCTGGGATGCAATCCCCACAGGCATGGATTCGTGTGTGTGTGTGTGTGTGTGTGTGTGTGTGTGTGTGTGTGTGTATGCGTGCGTGCACCTCAGAGACAGGACCCCCTAAAGCGCCGCTCACAACAACATTATCTATATGTTCTTAGTGCCATTGAGCTGGTTCCAACGCCTGGTGAACCTTACGGACACAGAACGAAATACTGCCCGAGCCTGCACCGTCTTCACAATTGTTCTTGTGTTTAAGCCCATTGTTGCAGCCACTGTGTCGATCCAGGGCCTTCCTCTTTTTCTCTGCCCCTCCACTTCACTAAGCATGATGTCTGACTCCAGGGACTGGTCTCTCCTGACATGTCCAAAGACCACGAGAGAAAGTCCTAATGGCCTCTAAGGGGCATTCTGGATGCCCTTTTCCCAAGACAGATCTGTTTCTCCTTTTGGCAGTCCATGGTACTTTCAGTATTCTTTGCCAGCACCATGATTCAAACGAATCAGTTCTTCGTCAGTCTTCCTTATTCCATGGTCAACTCTCACATGCATGTGAGGCAACTGAAAGCACCACGGCTTGGGTCAAGTGCACCTTAGCACTCAGAGTAACATCCCTGCTCTAAAGGGGTCTGGTGTCGCAGATAGATCCAGTTCTTAGTAGAGAGAACTTCCAGGTCCAAGAAGCTGAAAGCAGAGCAGTGTGATGTGGCGCGCGGATGATACGGTGCAGCACGGACCGAGACAAGAATGGTCAGGACCCTTCTGGTAGATGCAATCTGCGAAGTTTATTGACGCTGCTTCTGAGCCCGAAGTCAGCTGCGGAAGACCCCAAGCTCCTAAAACCCCGGGTATAAATACCCTGCTCGGTGACGTGTCCTA